AAAAAATGTATTTTTTACAAAATTTTTAAGTTTGCTTAGTTCCCAATATTCATTTTTTCGTTAATTTAAAAATGACTTGTTAAAATTTTTTAAAAATAGATGTTCAGCATATTATTTTAATATTTACTTAATTCTTTTTATATCTTAAAATAATATTTATTACAGAATTTAATCTCTAGTATGCCTAGCTTGTTCCAATTATATTTTGAATATACAGGTTTTAATAATATATTTTGATAATCATTCCTAGAACAATTAGCAGAACTAACAAACACCTTCGTTGGTCCACCTGGGCCCCCTGGTCGGTCAATTATAGGTAAACCAGGTCCACCGGGTATCCAAGGTCCCCCAGGTAATTATATAGTGTGAAAAATTGAAAAGTATGTAAAAGGTGAATAAATTCAAATATTCATTAATATTATTTTTAGGCGAGCCTGGGCCACCAGGCTTAGGTATGCCYGGTGAAAGAGGCTTTCCAGGATCTCCTGGTATACAAGGGTCAACCGGTAAGAATTAAATTATTATGCATATGGAGAATAATAACGCTGAGTGCATGAAAATAAAAATAATATAATTTGGTATAATTATACATTTGTTTTAATGATTACTTTTTATGACTACCTTTATAAAAAAATCTTTATCTAAGTAAATAACTWAAAAGGTACCTCTAGAGGTTTATTAAACATAACATATTAAGTATGCGAGAACTAATGCTTGAAAATTTCCTCTAAGAAGGAATTATTTTAAGTTCACGTTTGTTTTGTTAAGAATGAACTAAATTAAAGGTTTGTCGCTTCTAGCTTAAACAAAGGAACTATTTCTTTTCTTCGTAATCAAATAAAGAAGATTATTGAGTATTTGAGTGTATTGATGTGTAGGAATAATTGTTTAGTTAATAGTTAATAATAATTAGGCAGTTGTTTTGTTTTTAAAATATTTAATTTTTTATTTCATTCAAGTTAAGACTGCCGTGATATACCATGTTAACATTGTCAATATTATCGTATATTGTTGTATAATATAGATCATTATCATATTGACTTAATGTCTAAAAAAAAAAAATCATAAAAACTTTTGTCACTTTTTTATCATAAAAATTATTTAAATTAAATTTCTTATTTATATGAACAAAATAACAAGGTATAAAATCGTAAAAATATAGGTAAGTTATTTACTCCTTATAGGGCATAGGTATTTCAATTATTGTAAAAGTTATAAGATTATTGTGAAAAGCTAAAAATAACCAATATTAGCCCCTCGGGATTATTGTTTTAGAGTTCAGATTTATCTCCGAGTTGCCGTTTTGTAATTAACACATAATAAAATAATAAGTAGGTAAGTACCTAATATTAACAAACTGGTAATAGAAAAATATCAATTGTTGGTCAAACGGTTTGATTTTTTTGACTCAAACCTTATAAATTTGTCAGTGACAACTGACAACTGACATTATTGAATGTGTTCTAATAAAAACGTATTCCGTTAAATTGTACACAAATAATTATTATATTATATTATTGTTAAATTTTATTGGTAGGTTCTGAAGGACCAGTTGGGCCAAAAGGAGATAAAGGAGAGCGTGGACCTGAAGCTGTTGCATATGAAGGACCACCCGGACTCCCTGGCCAACCAGGTATTAATGTTTAATATATTTTTAGCCTTAAATTTTTTGAAATCTATTATAATATATTTTTAGGTCCGAGTGGAGCACATGGCAGACCAGGAGATAGAGGTGAACCAGGAAGACCAGGTATGAGTTTCGTTTATTACAATAAGACATGTACACAAATTTGTTTAATATAAATTAATTTCAGTTATGAAAAAAAAAAATAATATTTTTTGTTTAAATATGGTAGACTAAATTTAACCTTAATATGATAGATAAATCGCAATTTTTTTTAAACAGGTCCAATTGGTCCAATTGGTTATCCTGGACCTCAGGGTTCGCCAGGATACTGTGAAATGTGTAATAATGTCTACTACGCAGGTAGACCACCAACAGCTGGAAATTTCAAAGGACCTTGAGTTAAACATGCACATGTATACAATATATTTTATATTTTATATTAAATTATATATTACTACAACCTTTACTAATAAAGATTTATGAAAAAATAAGCATTTTCAATAGAACTTACGTAAGATATATCGTACTATCGTAAGATGATATTATTAAGTACCTACATCTAGTATTGATTGCAATCATGTATAGAACTGTAGAAGATTCAAAAAATGAGATGTTTGATTTATATTTTAATGCAATAAAATTGTCAGTTAATTGGAAACAAGTAATTCAAATTAAATGAAAACTTTAAGGACGAAACAGCCACAGGTTTTGATTGTGTACCTATCTATCTATAAAAATGTAAAAAAAATTTAAAATGTTTAACCTTAAATATTATAGGTTAACTACTACCTACTACAAAATTTATAATCTAAGTAATACATTTAAATTAGCATCAATCAAACCGTTGTATAATGTATAAAAGTATAGATAAGCAAATCATAAACAGTTACAAAAATATATCGTATCTTAAAGCTAAGTAATTTTTCTAAAATACTAGAGAAAATTGTAATAAAAAAAAATATGTGTTAGGTATCTAAAGAAGTGTATGAACTTTTCTCATAACGCCATTTTGGTTTTAGACCAGGTATTGGAATGGGAAATGCCCTTTGCAACTAAGTTTATTTATGAGTCCATGGACTATACTCGTACAATTTATCTGTCTAAAGAATATAAAATAGATGTAACGGAGTTCCTATTACCACATAAAAYGGTCTTTTTCAGGACCACCAATCACAACACAGCACGCACAAACGACACCACCGTAAGGGTCATGTGGCGAATTAAAAAAACATTCTGGTCATTTTACATTCCCAACAAACACGGATATGGATAGAGGAGACCGTAACGAAATAAAAAATACTATTACCATAATCAAAACCCTAAAATTGTACGAATAGCGAGGCAAACCGTGCCGACGGGAAACACAGTTACGCATGGCGGCACACCTGTGGTTTACGAGTCGGTATACGGGACACAGTATATAAACCGGTCACATTTACGAAACATCATCACAACTTCACAAATCAATGTTTTACAAAAGTTTCTTCTCGGATCACGAACATATTCGACTTCTAGAAAAAATCCATACCCCTCCAACTATCAAAGGAAAACCCAAACCATACGGATCAATCAATAAAACTATTATCCATCCAAATTCCATCCACTAGTAAAGGCGCAAGCCTGGTATAGTTAACGGCATCGTCATTCGTCCGCCAACAACCCATCCGTCAACATCTATTTGAAACGAGATGGCAACCGACGATACTGCAGCAAAGACACTCGTCAAAACGAGGCGGCAACCGACGATACCATCACAGGAAAAAACTGACGATCCCGACGTGCACATCGTGCAATGTTCACTGTACGACGTAGTACCGAGGCGATCGTACTGTGATACGCCGTGTGCAAATACCAGCGGCCCTACACGTAGTTTTCCTCACGGTCGATTCAAAATTGCGACTGACTAAAAAGGCTCTTTTCAGAGCCATCAACCATTCCCCTAGTGTGCCTGCGTAGGTGTCACTACGAGTTGTATTAATATAACTCACGACTTATTAGAGTCCGTGAGACAGTTAATATAAGCTCATTCCCTCTCGATATTATATTTCTTGTTTGTAAATAAAAAACCAAATATTGTAAAACTATCTGTCGCGCCTCTAAAGGCCTGATACCGCCCGCCGTGGCCGCTTCTTTAAGCCAGCCACGCGGTTCGGAGGTAAAAAATTATTATTATATGTTTTTAAATTTCAATAAACCATTTTGATTATACAAAACTAATCAGTGTATGATTATTTCTGTACACGGTACCTCGAGTATCGACGCACCGTGTCATAGATAGGCTGAAAATGAAAGCCTAATCACAGGGTCGCTTAAGTGCTTATCAGGTAGGAACATGTAACAAAAAATTAAAAAATAACATTTTG